CTAATTGAGGTGGCTTATCTAACACTGTACAGTGATGAAAAACAAAGTCAGGATCAAAACCTATTGATCTGTGTGTGCTGATGCAGTAAAGTTGCGGAATACAAAATCAACACACATAAATCAGTAGGTTTGGATCCTGACTTTGTTTTTCATCACTGTACAACATAAGAGAAGCCACCTGCAGCTTCCCATGGAAGTTTCTACCTCACTGCTTACTGCCTTGTAACTGACTCCCTGTTTTCACTCAAGGTTCTCTTCCACAAAAACGTTATACTTGGTTCAACCTCTTAAGGACCGTGGTATATATATATATATACCACTTATGCTAAACTCTTGTGAGCTGTACTCCTGCATTCCCAACGAGACATTTTCATACAGCTGTCTCAGGAGCTCAAAATCTCTAAAACCCAAATCAATTACTCCAAAATGTCAGTAATGACCCTATTTTGGACTCTAACAAGGTTTAGGTACAAGATCCCACTCCTTAGACAAGTTATCTAATCTCTCAATTCCATATTTATAATGTGCATTCTATAAACAACATAAATTCTATAAAATAAAAATTTTAAACTTCTTCAAAGGACTATTGTGTGAAGATTACACTGGATAACAGCCTTTTAAAACTGCAAAGTCTTAAAAGCAATTTTCCATGCAATCACCAATGATTTCTGTCTCTGGCACCATTTTTTCACTCATTCAAACGCAAAACTATTGTCATTTCCCTCTCAATCTATAATCAATAATTCACCTAGCTCTGACATCTCTTTCTATACAATATCATTTTTGTTACTAACTTCTAAGAAACCCATAATTTCAAATCTACGCTACTTTGAATGACTGACTTATTAGCTTCCAGTTTCTTCTTCTTCTATCCAAATGATTTTTCTTCCTAATACACCTAGTTCAAAAGTCTTCAGAGGCTCTCTAACCCACAGAACAAGGTCCCACCTACACAGCCCTGCATTCTACAACACAACTGCAACTAAGGACCAGTTCCTAAGCTCATCTCATGGCTTAAAATGAAGTCATGTTGCCAGCCAAAGCAAGGTCTCAGTGTGCTAAGGATTCCCTGCATAACCCCTTTAATGAGCCTCAGGAGCTTGCCTCACACCCAGCCAATGTGAATAAGTAGACCATCAACAACTTCAATGTGACCCTACTTGCTTCTTCCCTTGGACCTCTCACTGATGGGCCCACTTGTCGCACTGGATCCTTCAATACCATTACAAACTTTCTTGTCACCTTGTACCAAGACTAGCACCAACAGTAAGGTTAGGTCGATTAATTCTAGTGCACGCCCTGCATAACAGGGATCCTGCCTACTGGCCAGTTTCATTCTTCTTCTGGTTCCTTGTTGGCCCAGTATCCCTGTCCCTCTCCTCTCTCATATTCAGTATCTAATATAATTAAACGTGGTAGCACTTTTAACCTTATCTTCCTCCACAGCTCAACAGAAACCCATTGTTCTAGCTCAGTCAATCATTTTCAATCCATCCAAACTCAATACCCTCTTTATATGGCAAATATTTTACTACTTTTGGAATGGAATTCATATGTAATAAGACATACACACAGTTTCAAATATTTATATATAAATATAATTTCAGATACATTAATCTATATCTGTATGTAACTGTAATACAAAAAACAATTTATAATGAACAAAGTCTTTAAATATGCAAGTAAACAACTATACTGGAAAACATATTGAAGAGTAGTGCTCACATCTATGCACAGAATCAGAATAAACACAACCACTACAAATGCAGACCGAGGGGTACTGAATTATTGAATGAAATAACACAAGCAGTACTGCCATGATGGAGTTTTTCCAAAATGTGAACAAGTTGTAGTAAAGTTTTAAACAAAACAAAACAAAATGCAATTTCCCATGATTTACAATGTACTTGTATTCCTGGATAGTTTGGTATATATTAAATCTGTGCGGAGCATATTTTGTTTATATGCAAAATAGTTGGGTTTGGGCTCATAAACAGATTTTTCACCTGCATGAATACCCAGTAGAACATTAAAAAAGCTAATGGGACATGAGACAATTGTTTATTGTATTAGAGCAGAGATCAACAAACTTTCATGAGACGGGCCAAACAGCATATACTTTAAGTTTGGGGGACCATACAGTTTGTCAGAAGTACTCAACTTTGTCTATGAAAGCAGCCATAGGCAATACATTAATGAATGGGAGTGCCACTTTCAAATAAAACTTTATTTACCAAAACAGACAGCAGGCCCCGAGCCATAGTTAGCTTCCCTGTGTATTAGAGTTTCTCATGTAAATGCCTTGCTTTCATCCACTAAACACCAGTTACATTGTTCAACTACAGGGATGACAAAAGCCACTTCTACGCAGCAATAATTACCCATCCCTCCTGCCCTATCAATTGAGAACTCCTGATCTTAACTATTCCTCCTATTCACTGCACTTGGCAAAGACACTGAGTTCTCTAGTCTCAGCTCCTTTTCTATATCTGTCTGGAACACAACTTCTCTTCAATCTACTTTTTACTGTTTTTCTATCTTACACCTAATTCAAGACTCAGCTAACACTTTACCTCCCATCACTAATGGAAGAATTTCCATATAAATCACAATCTTTTAGATTTCACAATCTTTTATAAATAATTTAGTATTAATATGCCACCACATATTACTCTTCAACTTATGATTTATATTTTCTACCTCCCACTTGCAAGGCAGGTTCCTTGAGGGAACAGACTGTATCTAACAATCTGTCATGTCTACAGATTCTAGCTTAATGATTTTCCTTAAGTCACTTACTATTGTAGAGTGATTACCATGCTAGATGTTGAGGGTACAGCAGTGAACCATCAGATAAGGTCTCTGATCTCACTAAGATTATATACTTAGAGAGTGGAAAGAAAATTCAGATTCCAATAAGAATTATAATGGAAATAAAAAGAGTGTGTGATGTGGAGAATAAAGAAGCATAAAATGATGGTCAGCTACTAATTTAGATAAATGCCCAAAGAAACTCTGAAATGAGATGTTTGAATTGACCCCTGGATCTAAAATGAGCCAGGGAAGAGCATTTCAGCCATGGGAAAGAACATGTGTGAAATTCCTGAGACAGGAAACTCTGTAGCATATTTGAAGAAAATCAGTCATAAAGGACTTGAAACAATTTTAAGTAAGGGGATTGATATAATATGATTTTAGTTTTCAAAAATATTATACTGGTAACAGAGTAGAGAAAGGACAATAGTAAAGCAAGAGAAGTGAAGTGTATAATTAAGAAGATATTACAGAAGTCCAAGGAAGAACTGATGATATCCTGGACTGGGGATGGCAGTGGAGAGAGAAGATGTGGACAGATTTCAGGTATCATTTAGACAGGTAATCAACAGGGCTTATTCATGGCTAGATTTGGGTAGAGGGAGCACTGGATGCTGCTATTACTAATATAGGGAGAACATGGTTTCAGTTATGGTGGGAGGATCATGAGTTCCATTTAGATGTGTTAAGTTTGAGGTGACTGTTATACAATGATTGATTTTTAAAGATTAAACCAGCCTTGTATTCCTGAAATGAATCTCGGTTGGTAGTGATGTATTATCCTTTTTACATACTGCTTTTTCAAAAGAAGATGCAAAGTAGGCAGATAAATATATGAAATGGAGATAAAGACAAGGTCCCAGCTAAAGAGATGCATTGTAGGATATCAGCTTATGGTTGCTTTTTAAACTCACAAAATAAATAATATCACCTAGAAAAGAGTGCTTATTAGAAACACAAAGGCAGCCCTTTCCTGTCCTGAAACTCCCCTGAACTTAGAGAAAGGGTCAGCATAAGAGAAAAACCTACCCACTTGGAAAATCTGATGTCACAGAAGAGACTATTTCAACCATGCAATCTGCTAAAAGGTTGTGTAAAATAAGACAGAGAGGTATACATTTGACTTGACAAGAAGGAAGTGACTGATGAACTTTATAAAAACTGTTTCCACTAAAGATAAATGATAGAAACAAAACTAAAATGGAATGACAAGGAGAATAAGAGGTGAGAAAGTAGAAATAGAAACAAGATTTTCAAAAATGATACATGTAAATCATATCAATAGTTGTGGTAAAGAAACCAGACCAGTGACAGACTACATTTAGTTCATTAACTTGAGAAATTATTGCAGCAAACCAACAATTTATCTTGCTATAGATGAACAGAATAATAGCTGTGATCCCTTCAATGCAAAAATAAACTGAAGTCTTACATCAAGATAATCCACACTTTTGAAAATGCAGTAGAGGTAAACCTACTTATCCTAAAAGTTATTAAACTAAACTGAAAAGTTCCTGCTAATAAAAACACGATATTTGATTCTCTTGGAATAGAAAAACTTTCCTATGCAGATAACAAAGCAAAGAACTATTTAATTTAATAAGAATTAAAATCTTATATGCAGCAACTAACTACATTATAAAAGAAATTTTAGAAAATAACAGACTAGAGGAAAATATCACAACATAAATGACCCTAATATATAGAATGTCTATATTATCTTCTTTCCAATAAGAAAAAGCAATAAAAGTACATTAAAAAATAGAAACAAAGAAATAAAGACTAGAAATTCGAATGACGAATAAGATGGCATGACATATGACATATCGCCATTTTTAAGGGCTTTCCTTAAAAATCATCAATTGTGAGTAATGTTAAACTAATATGTATCTAAGAACTCTATAAATAGTAGCAGACATATAAAATTCCTCAATTACCTAAATAGCTTTACCATCAAGGCACAGCAGTTTTATTCCACATCTGAGCATACAGTAGATTGGCCTTGTTTCATTTAACATGACTTGATATGACTGCAAGAGGTACTGATTTTTAAATTTCAGCTTACATATTCCAACAAAAGATACAGTCATGTAATTTTAAAACTCAGCATATTCAGATGTGTATAATATTTAAATAGCTATGGGGACCATAGAAACACAAAAGCAAAAACAAGGAAAAGTGCCTACCTTCCCTGATAGCTGTGAAAGGTGTCCCTTCTTCTTCTTGCAGCCTGATCACCTTCAGAGCTACCAACTTCCCATTTACCCTGCAACAAATGAAAGAAGAGGTAAGTGAATCCATGAAAATATGTGCCCATTATAGTTCTAATTGTCTTCCTTATAATTTATTTATGTAAGTAAATAAATTCACTTTTAGGCTAAAAATGTCAGTGACTCAATTATACAGCCAAAGCAAGATTAGTTTTAATAAGGCTCAGAATTCTATATCATCATCCTAAATATTCACCATTTTAAATATTCATACTTGCATAGGCCAAGATTTAACTGAAGTTTTCTGTGATTCACTGTGTTCCTTCCAGAATGAAACTAGTATTTAACCAAATCACCACCCTTGACAACAATTCTCAGATTAATTAAAAATGAAGCAATCAAAAATAACTCTGTTCTTGGTTTCCCCAATAGCTCCTTCTTTGTTCCTTCTGCTGAAATGTCTTCATTTTTAGTCTTTAGCTAGGTCATTCAATTCCCAAGGACAGAAACTTAGAAACTTGACACTCTCTCTCTCACTCTCTCTCTCTCTCTCTCTCTCTCTCTCCCTCTCCCTCTCTCTCTGCCCCAACAACACCCATTCCCATTTTTTTCCTTTTTTTTCTTTTTTACTACAGCCTCCTAAAATTAAATTTGGTCTAGTTGTGTTTTATATTACAGTATGTCATCAAAAAATTTATGAATATTTTACCATTACAAGATTACACAAGACATATCCAAAGCAGATGGCCCTTCCAGACACATTCTAAATATGGGTTGGCTCCAATTAAAAGTATGATTGTGCTATGGAGATATCTTTTTATCCAGTCAATTCTGTCATCAATCAAAAACATGACTATCTATATTAGCCCCCCTCCTTGAGTGTTCTATTTTCTACCTACATTGGGCCTAGAAGCATACTTTATTTGGTTTGTTTGTTAACTAAAATAGGACAAAAGAAAACCACATATATAATTCTCAGTAGATTGGTTCCAGGATCCCCTTTGATACCAAAATCAGAGAGTGTGTAAGTCTATTATATAAAATGCTGTAGTGTTTGCATAAAACCTATGTATACCCACCCATACACTTTAAATAATCTCTAGATTACTTATAACACCTAATATAAACACTATGTAAATAGTTGTTATACTGTATTTTTATACGTATAATTTTAATTGTTACATTATCTGTCTTTTTCCCAAATATTTTCAATCCAAAGTTGTTTAATTTCCAGATGCAGAAACCTTGAATATGCAGAGCTGACCATATCAAAAATGCAAAAGGTACAGGACATATAGATTTCCATATATATGTATCACATATATATATATACACACATAAATATAAACATATACACACATAACACAAATGGTAGTGCACAATATAGAGTACACTCTACATTGTTTATGTCACTTAACAATATATTCTGGTGACTTCCTTATAAATCCATAGAAAACTGTCTTTTGCTTTTGAAAACCACATGGTGTTCTTATGCATGAGTAGAGCATACTACATTTAACCCCAGTCCTCTATTAATAGTTATTTAGCTTGTTCCCAAATTTTGCTACTACAATGACACAATAGGTATTCTTGTATGTGTAATTTCAGCTTTTAAAAATAGGTCTATAAGATAAAATTCCTAAAATGGCAATTGTAAGGTCAAAGGTATGTGTATTTCTAATTTCCAATTTTGATAAATACTGGAAAATCATTCAAAATAGAGGAGAGGATACCGATATAAATATTTGGTATCCTTTCCTATAGCAAATAAGAGTTCCTTTACCTCTCCTCCTTCACCTAGGCTACATGTTCTCAGTGTCTGATTTTGCCAATCTAATAGATCAAAAATGGTTTCTTGCTATAATTTAAATGGCTACCAAAGATCTCTAGAGTATAAAGAACTAGCAAAGGAGAACTTAGTGGGTCAGAGAATCCAGTGTCTGAGTCTGAAATAATTTGAATGTCTCTTTTTTAAACCTACATCTATTTGGTCTGTTTTTGCTCTAAAACTGTCATAGACATAAAACCCAAAAGGCCCAGGAATTTACCATAGTTGAACCATCCTAGTGGCATTTCTCATTGAACTGATTGTTGAAATACATTATTACTGGTTACAGTAATGGGATAGGAACACCTGATTATAAGGCTCCACAATGTACTATCTCCTCAAGTTTAGGAACTGTGTTTCTTTTTCCACCTGTTTTAGCAGAGAGGACAGGCCTGCTGCTTTTCTGTTCTGCAACCTCCTCTGAGTATATTTTCTTGATTTTTTCTAATCCTGCTTGTGCTCTAAGGACCCAGGTACAGCCTAAAAAATTACTATACACACCGGATTCAGCTGGAGACTGTACCTTGTACTCTTTACTTTGTCTTTTAGGACTAAGGACTTAGGCGGGGCTTGAGGCTGGGATGCAGTCAGTGCTGACATCTGCATGAATTTTTCTCAGCCCAGTTGAGCTCATCACTGGCTCCCTGAGGAGGCAGTAACTAATTCCAGGAACTGCTTGGAATTTTCCCCTAATTTACAGATATATTCCCCTCACCCATAAAACACACACACACAAAAACTTTTTCTTGCAAAGCTTTCCAGTTCTCTTGAGAGTATTAACTTGTATGTATCACGAACTGTGAACTGAGTTCTGGAATACAGGGATCGCATGCTTCTGTAGGTTGTGTCCTTAAAGCACATTCTCAGGCATGAAACTATGATTGCCTTATAATACACTGAAAGGACACCAGCCTTTAACTGAATCAACAATCATTTCCTAAGTGCAACTACACATGGATTCCCCTAAGTAACTACATTAACTAATTTGTATTATTTTTGTGGTGAAAAGGGTTTTTGAAAATATTTTCTGTAACTGCATAAAAATAAAAGACCTAGGTTCATGGAATTCAGATTCTGAGTTCTCTATTAATTGAACCTCCAAGTGTTTGCTTTTAATAAGTTATGATCATCTAAACAGTTCATGACACTGAGATTTTATGTATTATATGATTTAAAACTGTAATTTCCTTAAAATGTATACTACACATAAGTTCCAGAAATGAAAGAACTTTTTCTGCTTTATAAACTGTTATGTGCTCAGTATCTAGACCTTCTTGGCACAGAGTAGATTCTCAAAATATTTCACTGAATGAATATTGATGCTGTTATAATAGTATACTGACATTTTCCTCAACATACCTGCAAAATAAGTCCAGAATGAATTACTGAAAGTATTATTTCAAAAAAATTTCAAAATTATCAAAATTTTATAAAGCTTTCAACATCTACTTTCATGTTAGGTTTAAATGTTTATTTTCTTTTTACAAATAAAAGGTGTGTGGTCTCTTTGTGTTTTATACATCTACATATAGAAAATTGTTTATCTCCTTTAAATTTTAGAATTTGTAGAATGCTTTGTTAATTAACCTTTTGCATCCAGCAGACGTTTCAAAACACTCACTAACCTTTAATAATCTGAGCACAGACCACTAAACAGCATCTCCCTTTTCTACAGTTGCTTCATTGGTTTCCTATTAAGAATCATATTGATTACCAAATTGCTCTTTAACCTAAGTGGTTTGTAGTTCTCCTTGAAGAGGTCCTTTACGTCCTTTTTTAGTTGTATTCCTTGGTATTTTATTCTCTTTGTAGCAACTGTGAATGGCAGTTTGCTCATGATTTGGCTCTCTGTTAGTCTGTTATTGAGATAATCATGTGGTTTTTGTCTTTGGTTCCCTACTGCTTGATTTTGTCAGGTTTGTCAAAGATCAGATGGTTGTAGATGTGTGGCATTGCCTCTGAGGCCTCTGATCTGTTCCATTGGTCTATATCTCTGTTTTGGTACTAGTACCCTGCCGTTTTGATTACTGCAGCCTTGCAGTGTGGTTTGAAGTCAGGTAGCATGATGCCTCCAGCTTTGTTCTTTTTGCTCAGAATTGACTTGGCTATGTGGACTCTCTTTTGGTTCTAGATGAAGTTTAAACTTATGAAAGTTTAAAACATAATTCAAACATTGATTTAAATAACTTGAAATAATTACAAAAATCAAATTGAATCAATAAATTAGAGCTGTTTACAGAAAAACATTGAAGATCCCTCTTTAACAAGACTTATTAATTAAATCAAAGCCTAATGACTAGAAGGCAATCAGGGTTTGATTGCCAGTGGATACATTAATTCAGGTAAATAACATGATGAAAGAAGGGCTCTAAATTGTGCTAATATTAACATCATACATTCTACTGCAGTTACTGCCAAATTTGCCTGTAGTTGCTTTAGGCTGTATAGAGAGCCATTTTATTTCAAAGATTCTTTATGTTTATTCTCTTATTTTTCCAATAACTGTCATTCCCAGCTTGGCCCAAAGGAGCCGTGACTCATAGCTGTAGTCTACCCACCAAACATCAAGAGTTCCAAAGTGCTGTACCGGAAGAACTGCATTGGGCAGGGGTGGGGAGAATATCTCCATGCATAGGGACATGGAGACATTGGGTAGCCAAGTAGAGCCAGGCTGAAAGGGGATCCAACTTTCAAACTGTTTCTAAGCACAAAGCACAAATCTAAATCTGTCCATTTCAGAAACTGTGTCCACACATATGTGTGTCCTAAATTTGTAAATATAAAATTTTCTTGTGGGAGTAAAGCAAGGTCTAGAAGCTTTAAATAAAGAAAGCAGCCTATTTGTTTTTTCAACCATTAATTCATTTGTTCATTTAACATTTTGCAAAAGCAATAAAGGAAAACTCCTTACTTAGCTCAAAGTACATTTTCCAGTTTCAAAAGATGATGCTCATAAAGAACTTCCTTAAGAACAAAAAATTCTCAAAGGAAAGCCTAAAAGTCTTCTATTCCATTAGTTACTTCAAATTAATAGAATAACTTAGCACAAGAAAACAAAATTACAAATATTATCTGGGTCATCTTTGAAAATAGTGTCCATGTGCTAACACCTAGAAGAAATTGTATCTAGAGGATATGAAGGAAATTAAAGCAATATGCCCAAAATAAATTTAATATACTCTGGGAAATTTAATATATTCTGCTTCTCTCTTCCATTATGATTTTGTC